ATAGGACAGGATTCATCCTTATTGTACATAGGGTTCATAGTTATTGTACATAGGATCACTACGAGTCACAGGTGATTTGACAGCACAAAAAAGCAACGTATCTAAACATCAAATATTGTGAATAATGCATAAATAAGCAATCATAGTCCCCAAATCCAAAAAGTTATGCTTAGCCAAAGGAGAAACAGTGTACATCAGGCCTCATCTCCAAGACTTTAAGTAGTCTTTGACCAATAAAAAGACTAATAAGACCAATAAAATAAAGACCAATAAAAAGGTGTAAAGAAAGGCTGTGATTCTCAATGCCCTTACTGAGAGACGTCATAATATCAATGCTTATTGTAAGTCACATTCAGTAAGGGCTTCAGTCACATCTCATATGTAGATTGCATTTTCAAACTTCTACTAATGTTATCAGATATAGTGAATGACCTGGATCATCCATTAAGACACTTATACAATAAATTTTCATTTCCTACATTCCTATATGGATCTGTTCCTTATTGGATTTCCCCCTACACACACTTCTGTGTTCTGAGTCAGCAATATAAAATTTTGGAATGAGTAAAGTGTCTTTGCTTTTCTTAAGAGTGTCTCACAGGGTATGGAAAAGCTACACATTTATAACAACTCTGTGGACTGGTGGAAAAAGAACTTATATGTATTTTTAAATAATATTTCACATACTCCCTACTTCTAGCATCTAAGTCACAGTCTGTTTGACTCAGGTTAGACTAATTTTCTGAAAAACAAAAACAAAAAAAACAAAACAAAACCCAAAACAAAACAAACAAAAAAACAATGAGGAAAATGGTAAACATATTTCAGATAAGAATTAGGTGATGTAGCAAATCTGGTAAATAAGGACCAGATTTACAACAGATTTTTTGACTAGTCACTGCAGAATCCAAATTCTGGCTTATCACTTTTCTATCTGTCTGAATTAGATCTATTACTGAGCTTCTCATCCAAAGTTCTCATCTAAAAATACTGATGCGCTTCATCCTATGTTGGTCCAGTGAAAACTTTAAATAAATGAACAATTATAAATAGTGGCTATGTCAGTGGCATGGAAAATTATCAAGAACCATTCTGTAGAGCAAAACTGTTAGTATTATCATGATGGCTCCATATATATATAAATATATATACATATATAACACTCCACATATAAAACACTCCATATATATATAACACTCAATATTCATAACACTCCATATATATATGTAACTCCATATGTATATAACTCTATTTATCCATATGTCTATCTCTCTCTCTCTCTCTTTCATCTCTATCTCTATCTCTACCTCTCTCTATATCTATCTCTATATCATCTATATCTATATCTGTATCTGTATATGTGTCTATATCATCTCCATCTCCATCTCTATCTATCTCTATTTCTATATATAGTGGAAGAAGCTGCACTAGAATCCTGAAGGCACGCAGTTAGAAGCCAACAACCACTCTGAAGGAGAAGGAAGGGTGGGCAATCTCCTCCCATGTGATTAGCTGTCGTGGGAGAAGGAAGGGTGGGCAATCTCCTCCCATGTGATTAGCTGTCTCTGAGAACCCACCAGAGGGTCAGCTATAGCTCAGATCTGTATCAAGAGTACATAACAACAAAATAGATAGATGATTGATAGATTGATAAACTGATATAAAGATATAGATGTAGCTATAGATATAATTATTTATATACCATTAACTCTGAACTGACTCATGGCTGATCCTCCAGCATATACACATGCATATATTATGCAATTTATATTAAATATATGAAATCCCATGTGATTATTATTTCATTGTTTTTATATATTAAAATAAAAAAGATAACAATAATTCCTTATTAGCAAACACAGTCATAATTTAAGAACATATTTGCATTGATTAAATCATATTCCATAAAGAGTTCTTTCTCTTTACTAGATTCTAGTTAAATTATTTTTATAAATAATTCAGAATATGTATGTTATTGACCTGGATGAACCCATCCGTGGAGAAGGGCATCGTGCTCAAAAGGGTGGAGGGACAGTGTAAGAGAGGAATAGCCTGGATGAGATAGATTGATACAGTAACTAGAGCAATGGGGGTAGATGTGTCAGAGTCAATGAGACTGACTCAGGACAGGGCAGGCTTCAGAGTTGTTGTACTAGGGTCAGTGTGAGTCACAGGTGACTCAATGGCGCATAACAAAAACAAAATACATATTATGATGCACATATACCCAAACATACACATGACCATAAATTATATCCTCATAAATTATACCTATGTGCAACTTTTTTATTTCTGATTAATAGTGACTTTAACATACATGTATTTATTAATATTTTTTAGAATGTTTTGTTAAACCAGACTTACCCAGGGATCTGTTTCAGAGTTGTGGAATCAGCAGTGCTTTTGGTTGGGAACAAGCAAGATCTTTGCCATGTGAGAGAAGTTGGCTGGGAAGAAGGGCAAAAGCTGGCACTGGATAACCGGTGCCAGTTCTGTGAGCTGTCTGCAGCCGAGCAGTCTCTGGAGGTAGAAATGATGTTTATCAAGATTATCAAAGATGTGCTCACAAACTTCAAACTCAAAGAAAAGAGAAGACCCAGTGGATCTAAATCAATGGCCAAATTAATCAATAATGTATTTGGAAAGAGAAGGAAATCAGTGTAGTAGATGTGTGATCTGAAGAACTAATTTAACATGCCATTAAGTTTTAAATATTAACCTGATAACTAGATTTACTCATGATATGACATGCTTTTTAAAAGAACTTTCTTAGAGTTATTAAACAATTGAAAATTAACCACAACTGCCTTTTCAAATGTAGAGTTTGTTTTGTGGGTTGGTTGTATTCTGTCACTTTCAGCTTGAAAGTTAGCCTTCCTTTCATTTATTACATGAAATAGTACTCACTGTAACTGAATGTTGGATTATTATTGTTTGCCTTGCCATATAAACTCTGGTTATGTAATTTTATCTATATAGGCTGCAGTTTACCTTTATTTTCTTTATCCTTTGAATGAAGAATACTTATCTTAATAGTTAAAATAATAAAGTACATAAATTATTAACTTGTGAATCCTTGTGATTTATTTCACAAAAAAGCATCAATTTATTGTATAAACTATTTCATCGTAATCCATTAAATTAATTGATATCACAAGTTTACTTATAATCTAAATTGTGTTATTGTTGTTATGTACTGTCTAGTCATCTATGACTCATAGCAACCCTCTGCACAGTGTCTCTGAACCCTGCTCTATCCTGAGTCAATCTCAGTGTCTGTGACATGCCTACTATCATTATCCAAGTTATTGTGTCAATCCATCTCATGACGGATCTTCCTCTACTGCGCTGTCCCTCGAATCTTCCAAGCATGATATTTTTTCTTTAACAACTGCACTTTCCTGGCAACATGTCCAAAGTTTGTGAGACCGACTTTTAAAATCCTTGCTTCCAAAAATTTCATCCT